TGCAGCGGGTCTGGGTGGGGTCCTGGCAAGCGAGGCTTCCCTGGGTGCAGACAGCTAGGCCCCCACCTGCCTTCGGCCTCCCTACCCCTGCTCTGATTTTGGAGGCCATAAGGCCCCATTGTCCCAGCACTGGCGGGGGCGGCCTTTCAATTCTTCCTTGTCTGTGGCAGTTGGGAAATTCCCAGCCTTGGGGGGCAGCTGGGGATGGCAGGGGTGTGTGGGGTGGCATCCCAGGTGTCCTACACCCCAAAGGGAGGGACTCCATGCGGTTGACTCCTGGGGATCCCCTACTGCCTGGAGCGTTCCAGGGGCTGAACCTCTTCCCTGGGAGCAGTGGGGTGAGGGCAGCCAGAGAGATTCAGTGCTCCCTGGTCCTGTGTACCTTGGAGCACTCCCAGCTTAAGAAGGTCCATCTTTCTGGCCCCACCCATGGGCAGCGGCAGCCATGAGGCCTGGGACCCTTAGATAGGCAGAGCTGGGGAAGGGACCCAGGCTCCTGCTTCCAGACTAAGCTTGTGGGTCCCAGTGTGAAGTGGGCTGTCACCAGCCAGTGGAGACCTCCACGAGGCCGATCCACCTCTCAGAGGGCCCACCCCACTCCAAATAGTTGCTCAGGCTACTGATGTGGTGGCAGCCTTGGTATTTTTAACCCATCAGCAGGGTGGGGAAACAGCTGGGAAGGGAGAGAGACAAGCTCTGAGAGCCAGAGGCCTTAGGAGGGCAGGAACTAGGGAGACCCTGTGGAGAGGAGCCAGTGGGCAGCTCAGGTCCAGGCCCCCCACAACAGGTGGGTGGAGGCCAAGATTGGGGGTGCAGAATGGGGAGGGGACCCATGAGATCTGGGACCTGTGACGCTGCAGGGGCTGCCAAGGCCTGGAAGAACACCTCACCATGTTCCTGGGCAGCCCCATGGTTCCTTCTGATGTCAGGCAAACCTCCTACTCCCCACCCACCGAGAGCCCCTCATATTATCCTCCCACAGACCCCATCCCAGACCCAGAATGCCAGGCCAGCCAGGACACTGGAGAACACAAGCCCTGACTCCAGCCATCTGTTCTGTGGCGTGGTAGGCCGGGTCCTAGCTGCCCTGGGAGTCAGGGAGAGGGCAGGAACAGGATCGTGGCTTCTCTTGGTTGACTTCTGGGTTTAGGCTCACTCCCAAACAACTGAGCCCAGTCTTCCTGTCTATTGCCCTGAAAAGAGATCCTGGGGGCCCACATCCCTGTCATGGGGCTACGCATTCCCCTAACCCCTCTTGGGCACCCAGAGGGAAAGCCAGCCCCCATCACACATCCAAGGAGGGCAATAGGCCAGGTGGGGTATGTGTGCAGCTATGTGATGGCGAGTGTGTCCATACTTGCCAGCCACTCAGCTCCTCGGTTAATAACGGTGACGGACACCAGGGTCCAAGCGGGTGTGGATCACTTTTTCCTCCCTGTCTTGGTTTCTCCCCTTGCATGAAATAAGCCCCACAGGTGATCTTACTTAGGAGAAAAATCAGTTTGATATCCCTTCCCATTGACTCTGCTTTCCAGACTCATTGTGGGTGGAGAGAGTCAAGGCCTGAGGGGCTGGTGCAGGGTCAAGTAGGGACTTGATGTGTCCCTTGTCCATCAGTCTCCCATCGCCCCCCTCCCCCCCCACTGCCCTACTCAGCAGGTCCAGGAGGGTGGAAGGGCTTCCTGCAGGCATTCTGTCTCCTCCCTCCCTGTACCTGTCCTCTGCCTGATGATAGCCACTGGGGGACCCAAAGTTCTGCAGTGGCATGGACCTGGGTGTTCTAGGCATTTGGGGCTTCACAGAGGAAGCGACACTGACAGGACACCAGGAACGCTGGATACTGAACGGTGAAGAAGAGAGTCTAGCAGGTGGCAAAGGGGAGGGCCTAAAGGGTGGAGAACATAGCCCAAAGCAAAGTCCTGTCAAAGAAAGAGCTGCTGCCTCCCCAAAATTGGTGCCCGGAGCACTGGCGGGGTCGGCTAAGGCTGAGCCCTGGAAACCCCAAGCTCCAGCGAGCTCTCTGAGGTGGGGGGTGGGTACTGCAGAGGGGAGGCATTGGGAGGAGGAGTGGCAGAAAGACCACAAGGGCACAGCCTAGGAGTAGGGTGAAGGGGTCAGGCCACGAGCTGCTGGGGGAGGAGGCGGGGCCTTGTCCCGCTAACCAGGCAAAAAGTTCTCCCTGAGATCGGGAACTCTGGGAGAAGGGATGGGCGCTTGGGCCCTGCCAGGGCTCGGTTGGAGACTCCGAGGAAGAGACTGAGGCGTCCCCAGGGGTCGGGGAGGGACGGAGGTTCAGGTGGAGGGTGGAGGCAGTCATTGTGCTGGGGGCTGGGGCGGGGGCGGGGGCGGGGGGGACCGGAGAAGAGCCAAGCCCGAGAAGGGGTCCTGGGGAAGCCGGGCTGAAAGACGCAGCAGTGAAGGGTCTGCCTGGAGGCCCAGGATGCCGGGTGCGGAGGTGGCACCAAGAGCGGACCCCTGTGTTCCCCCACCCTGCACCCAGCTGCAACCGCAGGGCAGTTGAGGAGAGAGATCCGAGAGGTTTCAGTGTCTCCCTAGAGACACACAGCTGGGGAGCAGCAGTCACGATTTCACCCTGCTCCTCCCGGCTTACTAAGGGGGCTGATCCCTGGGGCAGGTTCGCCCCCACCCCAGCATCCAGAGCCCCCAGCCCGCACTCCTCGGCAGCTGTCCCCCAAGCCGATTAAAGGAAGGTAGCACGTATGTTAATATATGTTAATAAGCGTGGAGTGCCACCCCAGTCTACTTTGGCTGCATTCCTGGCACCCCCTCCCACACTCCCCTAGGCTGTGGAGGAGGGGAGAGGGAGGCTCCACCCCCTCCGCCCCCCGCCCTCCCCCCCCAACCCTGCTGGGCAATGAAGAAAACAGGAGCAAGAGGAGAGCTGTGATGTGGCTGGTGGGGGGGGCTCCCCCATCCCAGAGGGGCTGACCTCAGCCCAGGAGGAATGTGCGGGAGGCGGAGGGCTGGGGCGGAGCGGGTGGGGGCAGGGCCACAGCCAGAGGCCCAGGGTTCCTGGCGGCCCCTCCCTTGGCCCCTCCCTCGGCCCCTCCACCTCAGCACAGACATGGCCCTCAGAAGGGAAGGGGAACGGGCAAGGAGGGGAAGAGCTGATCTTTCCAAAAAGGTGGGCCAGGGGTCCCCGGGAACGTGGATTCCAGGCTGGGGGCGTGTGGGGGAAGGGCTCTAACACCAGTCCCCAGGAGATCTCCCAGGGGTGGGTAGTGGACTGTCAGGGAAGTCAGGCCTCAGTTAGGCTTCCCTGGGCCCACCCCCACCCAATGCCTAAGTCCTCAGGGTAGCGAGTTCTAGTTCCCACGTGGCCAGAACTAGGAAAGGTTATGACGTTGGAGCCACCAGCCTTGATGGCTAAAGCAGGTGCGAGTGGGGAGCCAAGGCCCAACCCAGCCCAGGCTGGGCACTGGGAGGGTTAACGCTAGCCTTCCTCACATGGATGTCCTACCCCAGCCACACCACCTAGAGTCCAGGCAGAGGGCAGGCCCGGTTGGTGATGAGGGGTCAGGAGGGGGGTGGTAGGATTTGGCATGACAATTCAGTTATTTCCAGAAGGAAAAACCAAGGCCTTGGAAGGCTGTGGCACTGACAGGCAGCATCAGGGCAAGAATCCAGGCAGGCCTCTGCCCGTGGCAACCCTGGCAAAGCATAGAGGCCAGGAGTCTGAGGTGGCCCTTGGGCTGGGGTGCAGGTAGGAATAGGGACCCCAGCTGCATTCCCTAGTTTGCTCCATTCTGTCAAGACTCAGGCCCAGGCTGCCTGATTCCAGAGTCCTTCGAGACTCCCGGAGTGCAGCGTAACCCACAGTCAATGGCGCTGCTCCTGGAGGGCTGCCTCCGTGAGGTCCCCACCCAGGGTCTGGCATATGCTTGGACCTGTGGCTGAGGAGCAGAGAGAACTTGTGGGGACAGGGACACTTGAGCTCCCACCCCTGCAGATCTCCCTTCCTGCCCCAGGGAAGAGGGCTCATCTAGGGCAAGGAAAGCAACACAAAGGGCTCAGGTGGGCAAGGGACAGCCCCAAGATGCTGGAAAAATGGTGTGTGGGGGGGTCCTGGTCCTGCTTTTCAGTATGGATGAGGGGCTGGGAGGGAATGAAACAGAGACTGGGACCCTGAGCCTGAAGAACTAAAAGCAGTGGGGGCAGGTAGGGGGCACCCCAAAGGGGTGGGTGGGGACCTCAAAGGCACTTGCTGATCTTGGCTGCTAGGGTGGAAAATTGTAAACAGCCAAAGAATTTTGTTCGCTTGCGTGGGGCCAGGGGAGGCTGCCCAGGTCCAAGGCAGAAGCTGGGAGGAGAAAGAGGCTACATCCCGGAAGTCCAAAAGCTCAGGCTGGGGTACATCCTTCCACTCCCCTTCCTGAAGGCTCCTGGTCCTCCCACTGACCCCCTCCCTTCATCTGCCAGCCAGCCAGCCAGCCAGCCAGCCAGGCCAATCCAGGAACACTAGGTCCTGAGACTCAGGAAAGCAGGGCACGGCCCCACCCTGGCTGGGCACAGATACTGCTACTCCAGGAGAGCTGGGGGGAGAGGGGCCACAGCCCTTGAAGCCTACAACCTTCCTCACTGACCACTGAGGAGCTGCAGACCAGCCTTGGGGAGGTTGTAGGAGGATGCCTTTTGGGGGGATTGAGGAGTGAAAGCCCATCTTCAAGCCCTGAATTTGCCCCATTGACCTGAGGGCCCCATTCAGCCATGGTTAACATTCGGCCCTTCCAGAGTAGACCCCTAGCAGTACGAATAGGGTCATCCACCAGACTCAGCTTCAGGCCAAGATCCCAAGACCCTTCCCAGCTGAGGCCCCGAGGTCCCATCCTGAGTCACCCAGGTCACACAGAATGCCCCTCACCTCCCAGCAGAGATGCAGGACCGCCTATCAGGAGGGGGTCTCTGGATGGGCCTCCATCTTGCCGTGCAGACGTGAAACGTGTGGGCCTCTGCCATCTGCTGACTGCCCTGCCTGGCCCTCTCCTCCCGCCCCAACTGCTGCCATCCCAGCCCCTGCCAGCCAGGTGGTGGCAGCACAAAGCGGCTCAAGTGGTGAGGAAGGCCTGGGGCGGGGCTGGGGGCCCATCAGACCTCCACCAGAGAACCTCTTGCGAGAACCTCTTGTCCGGCCCTCCAACCCTCCCATCCCAGCTGAGCCCCTCACTACCCGCCTCCAGCTCTCCAGCTGTGTTGGGACAGGTGAGGACCTTGAGTCCCCTGGACCTACTGTTTCTTACTGTTCACAGAGCTGTCTGGGGTTGGGGGTGGGGGGGCCCTATCTGGCTTCTTCTTCCTCCTGCGCCTTGCCTGGCCGCCCTGGGCTGGGCTGGACCGCTCTTGGGCGCACCCTATTGCCCTGAGGCCTGACAAGGGGAGGGGTCGCCCCTCCCTTGTGCCCGCTGCACTCTGGCCGGGCCACCAACTCCGCTGGCCCAGGCTGCCTGCCTGGTCACCCGATCCACCCCGTAAACTTGACGGCGCGTGGGGCGGCGGCCGGCTTGGTGGAGGCGGGGGCTGCTCCTTAAAGGAGCCGTCAGAGGGTTGCCCCGTGGTCCCCCGGCTTCTCCCCTCCTCCAGGATGGGCGGGGCTGGGGTGGAGAGGCGCTGCAGCCGGAGTTCTGGTGGAGTGTGGGAAGGCAGCCGGGTTTCTGTGGCATCGCAGAGCTCACGGGCTCGGAGAGCAGTGGCAAGTGTCAGTGGAGGGATGGCGGGAGGTGGGAGTCCTAGCCCGGGAGGGGTCCGGGAGCTGTGGAACTGGGCAGGGGCTTGGCGGGGGTTAGTGATCTGGAACGTGCCTTGGCAGTTGTGCCCCTTGCTTGACGGCACCCCAGGACCTTACCCCATGCCAGGGCTCCTGTGCCCAGCACCTGCCCAGCCAGCTCTGGAAAGGATGATGGGCATTGCGGCCAGATGCTGGCTCCACGGAAGGGGTCCAGGGGAAGGGCTCTGGCGCAGAGGTGGAGGGGCTCAAAGATGGGGAAGCCTGAGGGCGAAGGCAGGGGAGGGAGAGGCGTGGAGGCGGGGGAGGCTCAGAGAGGGACGGGCAGCTCACCTGCAGTGGGGTAGAAAGGCCGCCTGAGACCCCTGGCTCTCCCCCCGACTCGATTCCTCTTGGGTCTGAAGTCTGAGCTCACAGAATTTCTGTGTAACCAGTCCCTTCCAGGCTCGGGTGGGGAGAGAGAGGTCAAGCACGAAGCTGGGGCTGCTATATCCAAGTGGGAGCCACCTCCAAGTCAGAAGCTGAGGCTTCCGTCCAGCCCCAGGGCAGGGGCGTAAGCCTTGGGGCTCCTGCACACACTTCTTCCTCAGAGGAGGGGCTTTCAGGCGCGTCTCAGAGTTGAAGGCAGTGATTGTCGCTGTGGTTGTATTTGCTCACCTGCATGTCCAGAGAGACACGCATACACGTGTGCGTGCACACACAATCGCACATGCACACGTGTACGACACACATGTACACACGTACGCAAAGTGCACACGCATGCCATGTACCTACACGTGTAATACAACGCTTGTGCCACACGCGGTCACAGGCATGGACACACCTGTCTGCATACACACTGCGCGCGCATACACACACACGCACACGCACACAAAGGGACCCTCAGAAACACTCAAACTCACAGGTGCCCACACAATTGGCCCCAGCTCCAGCCCCAAAGGTGCCTCTGTTTCTCTGTAGGCCCTGGGTGCACAGCCACCTCCAGAGGCCTGACCCCCTCCTGCCGCTCTCACTTCCAGGACTGGCTTGTTTTGCTCATCGAACAGGGCACCCTCTGAAATGACTGCACTGATCTGAGTCCTTGTTGGCATTCTGCCTCCTCCTGCATGGGGACCTTGTCTGTGTCCCCCTGTGTCCCAGGCTGGCGTGGGGTAAGCGCATAGAGTTTGTGAATTAATGCCTATGAGTGTGTCTGGGGGGGGGTTCTTGGGGAGGGTGACGTGGTGGGGCGGGCGCCTGCCAGTGTGGGGGTGACCCCGAGGGTGTGCCCAGCGTGGGTGTGTCTGTGATTGTGGCCAGGCAGGGCACACTCTGAGGGAGGGGAGAGCTCGGAAGTGGAATGCGACCCCCCAGCCTCTTTCCCCTAGGGGCTGTAATCTGATCCCTGGGGACTCCCCCCCCCCCAGCCTCCCGCCCTCGTCCTTGCTGCAGCTCCTCTTCCAGATCCTGGGGCAGAGTCCAGGGCGGCTCAAGGCTCCTCCACACGCACCCGCTGATCCCGGAGCACCCTGAGCCGCCAAGATGGGGCGGGCCAGGGCGGCCGCCATGATCCCGGGCCTGGCCCTGCTCTGCGCGGCAGTGCTGGGGGATGCTAACCCCAGCTCCCCGCGCCTTCGGCTCTCCTTCCAAGGTAGGTGCACCTGGCAGGCAGGAGGGCTTAGCTCAGGGTGGGCAGGAGAGGGGCCCAGTGTGGGTAGGGGGCACTGCGTTTGCTGTTGCCCTGTGCCACTGGCCCGGGTGTGACTGGGGGCACTCTCAGGCCATCTCCAGTTAACCCTGTCCTGGCCTCAGCCCCCAAACTTTCTGCACGCACATTCTCCTCTTGCTTTCCCAGGAAGACCCCTTCCGTTCCCATGGCAACAGGTCCTGCCTGTGTCCCATCCATGACACAGCCCCAAGGAAGCTGAGGTGTGGGGGCCGCCAGAGCCCCCTTCCCACGCCCCCTATGCGGGAGGGCAGTCACTGGTCACTAGGCAGTGGCATTGCACTGAGCTCAGGCTGGTGGCAGAGAACCCTCAGCCTGACTTTGGGGTTGGGGTTCTGGCTTTCCAGACACGCTCAGCCTCCCCCGGCACCCTGGCCTCCCCGTGCGCCCGCCTGCAGACACTGCTTGTCCAAGCTTGCCCGAGGAGTTCAACCTGCTTTCCCCTTGGGGGGTTGATGCACTGCCCACCATGGAAGCTTCACACACGGGTGGGCCTGTCTTCACGAGTGTAAACTCACACACGTGTAAACTCGCATGTGTGTGGGCCAGGTCACATGTACAACCACGACCTGTGAGAGTGACAGGCAGGGTCTTGGGGAAGCGTCCAGCATGGCTGGCAAATCCTCAGTGGTTTCCCTACTCTGCAGAGCTCCAGGCCCGGCACGGTCTCCGGACCTTCAGGCTAGAGAGGACCTGCTGTTACGAAGCTTTGCTGGTGGATGAGGAAAGAGGACGCCTGTTTGTGGGCGCTGAGAACCATGTGGCCTCCCTCAGTCTGGACAATATCAGCAAGCGGGCCAAGAAGGTGCCAGGGACCCCCAGCCTCGGTGCTTCCTAGGGAAAGAGCCCCAGGACCCCACTCCGGACTGCTTGGAGAGACCCAGGGGGATGGGCCCCCTGAGCGGACACCCTCTGCCCAGAGACCATGCAAAGACCCTGACCTGTGTCCCCTTCCCCCCGACCTCCTTGCAGCTGGCCTGGCCGGCCCCCGTGGAATGGCGAGAGGAGTGCAACTGGGCGGGGAAGGACATTGGTGTGAGTGCTGGCTGCCGGGGGTGGGAGTGGGGAGGCCAGCCCCTCGCTTTACAAGACAGCAGCGCCAAGACAGAGGCCTGCCTGTTCTGGCTGGGATGGGGGCGGAGGTCGAGGTGGCTGAAGTTTGGAGGTAGTGACTCAGGGTGGAGGCTCATGTGATTCTTCTTGGGGGCCTCTGAGTCGTAGGGAGCAGTACAGGCCTCTGCTTTTCCATGCACCCCTTCTGGTGAGAGGTGGGCTAGGCTGGTCACCAAGGGCACGCAGGTCGATGCGGCCCATGTTGGTGCTCGCCTGGACTGACGCAGAAGAGAGGAAGGGGTGAGGTGCCACTGGTGAGCTGGGACCCCTTAAAGCCTGCCTCCCTGGGGGAGGCCTCATTGTCGCTGGCCCTGCCTGCCCACTAGACTGAGTGCATGAACTTCGTGAAGTTGCTGCATGCCTACAACCACACCCACTTGCTGGCCTGTGGCACAGGGGCCTTCCACCCAACCTGTGCATTTGTGGAGGTGGGCCACCGGCTGGAGGTAAGGCCAGATCTGGGCAGAGAGGGAGGCTGGGAGGTGAAGAAGGGCCTGAAAGTAACAACTGCCCCCTGCCTCCCAGGAGCCCATGCTCCGGCTGGACCTTCGACGGCTAGAGGACGGCAAGGGCAAGAGTCCTTATGACCCGAGGCATCGGGCTGCCTCCGTGCTGGTGGGTGAGTCCGAAGGCTAGGGCCCCTCAGAGACTCTCGACCCTCCTGAGAGCCTCAGGGATTCCCCATGGCCTCACTGACTCCCAAGGAGCTCCCAGAGCTCTCCAAGCACCCCCTACCCCCCACCGAGAGCCTTCAGATTGGCTGAGCAGCCCTCGCCCTATCTGCAGGAGAAGAACTATACTCAGGGGTGGCTGCAGACCTCATGGGCCGGGACTTCACCATCTTCCGCAGCCTGGGCCAGCGTCCAAGTCTCCGGACAGAACCACATGACTCCCGCTGGCTCAACGGTGAAAGGCTGGTGGGGCTTTTGGGAGGGGCCCTCATCCCTAACAGGGTAGGTGCCGAGTAAGGCCCATAACGGAAGTGAGCGATGGGTGCAGCCGGGTCTCGCTGTCCTTACCATGCATCCAGCCCTGTGCCAGGTACTGGGGTCGCAGGGCAGACAGGACGTGTGGCCCGCACCCTCTTTGAGTTCACAGAACTCAGAACAAATACATCCTAAGATCGGTTCCAATGGCCGTGAGACTGGTGAGTGCACAGACAGAAAGGGAAAAGACCAGGTGGGAGAACAAGAAAGGAAGCCACTCTGCTGACGAGAGGGGGTGAGCTAATTCCCAAAGCACAGCAGGATTGAGGGAAAGAACAACCAGTGCAAAGAATCCCGGGCAGGAACAAGCCAAGGAACGGAAGGACCCATGAGAGGAGAAAGGAGAAGGGGTCTGCGCTCTCAGGGTCCGTGTCATTTGTTCTAAGAGTGAGGGGACCAAGCAGAATGGGGGCATCTGCTTCCTGCTCAATAGGAAGATTCATGAGTGCAGGTACAACTGATCTGCCATCTCCCTCCTTTCTTGGCCCACTGGCCTGGGGAGCTGTCAGGGACCAGGGCAGAGGCTTGCTGTCCAGGTAGCCTCGGTCTCTGCTGCCCTCTCGTGGCTGCTTCTTGACTCATAGGCCCTGATCCTCCGGATCCTGTCCGCTTGCAGTGCCATCCATCCCAATGAACTTGGTCCTAGAGACTGGGTGCTCAGATATTGCCCCACAGGCTTCTGGGAGCACCAGAGTTAGGAGAGGGAGCGTATGGGTCCCACGAGTGCAGGGCCAGGACCTTGCTGATTTCACACCTCCTGCCGCTAGAGCCCAAGTTTGTCAAGGTCTTTTGGATCCCGGAGAGCGAGAATCCCGACGATGACAAAGTCTACTTCTTCTTCCGGGAGTCGGCAGTGGAGGCTGCACCAGCGCTGGGACGCCTGTCTGTGTCCCGTGTCGGCCAGATCTGTCGGGTGAGGAGTCCCTGGGCCACATCCTGTGACCACGCCCCTGCCCTGTTGCCTCTCTGGGCCTCCCCCTCATGCCCTCTGAGTGACCCCGCAGAATGACGTGGGCGGCCAGCGCAGCCTGGTCAACAAGTGGACCACGTTCCTGAAGGCGCGTCTGGTGTGCTCTGTGCCAGGTGTCGAGGGTGACACGCACTTCGACCAGCTCCGTGAGTGCCTGGAGTGGAGGGTGGAGTTGGGGAGAGGGAGCGCAGGGGCCCAGACCCAGGAGCCCGGCCGCCCAGAGGGCTGTGTGCCCTCCCCCAACTAGGCCCCTTCCCCACAGAGGATGTGTTCCTGCTGTCCTTGAGGGACCGCTGGAGCCCGCTGCTCTATGCCGCCTTCTCCACATCCAGGTGAGGGGCAAGAAGTCGTGGGAGGGGCTGGCCCAGCTCTGCTGGGCCCCTCACTCTGCTCATGCCTTCGCCTACAGCACCATCTTGCGAGGCTCTGCAGTGTGCGTGTACAGCATGAACGATGTGCGCCGTGCCTTCCTGGGGCCCTTTGCACACAAGGAAGGGCCCCTGCACCAGTGGGTGTCCTATCAGGGCCGTGTCCCCTACCCCCGGCCAGGCATGGTGCGTAGCCCCAGGATTTCCACCACAACCCACTTAAAGTCTCAGGGGTGGAGAACTTGGCCTGGGATCTTCTTGGTGAATGTGGTTTCTTCCTCTTTGTTATCCTTGGGTGGATAAACATTACCTTCATCAGGCAGGGCTTCTAAAAGAAAGGCCCCATTTCCCCCTAAGACTCCCAAGGGCAAGGCTGGGTCTTCTCCCTTCAGATTCCCAGGGCAAGGCTCTGTCTGTTAGCACGCCCACACACTCCCAGTTCCTGGAGGTCTCTCGTGGGCCCACCAGACCCTCATACCCACATCCCTGTCGCACCTCCTCCCCACCGCCCAGTGCCCTAGCAAGACCTTTGGCACCTTCAGTTCTACCAAGGACTTTCCTGATGACGTCATTCAGTTTGCCCGGAACCACCCCCTCATGTACAATTCGGTCCTGCCCGTGGGTGGGCGCCCTCTCTTCCTACAAGTGGGTGCCGGGTACACCTTCACCCAGATCACTGCAGACCGTGTGGCAGCTGCTGACGGACACTACGACGTCCTCTTCATTGGCACAGGTCAGTATCCTGCCATGACCACCCATTAAACCCCAGTCTAGACTCTGGCCTGTTACTAGAAGCTGCCCCTGTCCAGTCTCACCTCCACATCTTTGCCTGGGTTATGCCCCCATCTCCTTCTGGATGCTGCTCTTATTGTTCCAACCCACATTCTTCACCGACCCAACCATGCTGAGGGTAAAGGCCTCAAGTGAGGAGACCCCCAGTCCTAGCTATCAGGGAACGCAAGGAGTCACTCACTCCTTCTCATCCTTGCAGATGTTGGCACAGTGCTGAAGGTGATCTCAGTCCCCAAGGGCGGCCGGCCTAACGGGGAGGGGCTGCTCTTGGAGGAGCTGCACGTGTTTGAGGTGAAGCCTAGCTCCCCCCGCCCCGCCCCCCTCCCTGGAGTAACCCCAGCCCACTGATCCCTGATCCCAGCACTCCTCCTCCCTCTCAGGACTCGGCTGCTATCACCAGCATGCAAATCTCTTCCAAGAGAGTAAGTGACCAGAAGGCTTGGGGATAAAAGGGACCCAGTGCGTTCCCCGGGTGCCCCCACCCCCACGCCTCCCTTGGTAGTTCGAAGCCCCGGGTTTGAGTATAGGTTCTGCCTTCGCTAGACTGCGTGACCTGAGACCTCAGTGTTCCCATCTGTCAAGTGGGGTAAGGGATCTCTGACCCATGGGAGGCGGGCACAGGGCTGCCTTCGGTCAGCCCGGAGCCCCTCGTGCCCCCTAGCACCAGCTGTACGTAGCCTCGCGGAGCGCGGTGGCCCAGATCCCCTTGCACCGCTGTGCTGCCCACGGCCGCGCCTGCGCCGAATGCTGCCTGGCGCGTGACCCTTACTGCGCCTGGGACGGGGCCGCGTGCACGCGCTTCCAGCCCAGCGCTAAAAGGTGGGCAGGGTCGGGGGCGGGCCACCCAGAGTCCTTTGCAGCACCTGGCTAAGCGAAGAAGGGCTCATGGAAATTCCATGTTGCCCCCCCCCCCACCTCCCCGCAGGCGGTTTCGGCGGCAAGACGTGAAGAACGGAGACCCCAGTACGCTGTGCTCAGGGGGTGAGTGACCCAGCTGCCCCTACTTCTCGGCCTTTGAAGACGCCCCCTCCTGCCCTGCCCTGCCTGACTCTGATAAATCCCTTGCCCTCCCCAGACGCGTCCCATCCCACATTGCTGGAGCGGAAGGTGTTCGGTGTGGAAGGCGGCAGCGTCTTCCTGGAGTGTGAGCCCCGCTCGCTGCAGGCACGCGTGGAATGGACCTTCCAGAGCGCAGGGGGGGCGGCCCGCACCCAGGTGAGCCTCCTGCCGCTCCCCTCCTCAACAGGCCCTTGTCCCGCCCCTACATCCAGGAGAGACCCCGCCTTAGCCAATGAGGCCCTCGGCCTGCTCCCTCCTCTAGACCAGGTCCGGCCCCGCCCAGTGAGACTCCGCTCAACCAGGGCCTTAGGTCCAGTTTGGTCCCGTTACCTGCACTCCACATCCTGTTGAGGCTTCATTCCGTCTCACCCCCTCCCCCATCAGAGAGGAGCCCCGCCCTCGCCCTGCCTATTGAGCTCCCTGCCGCGCCCCCGCCCCCCCATGTCCAGGTGAACCCGCCCGTACGGGGATCCACTTTTAGACCACTGGTCCGAGTGCACCCAGCCTCCAAATGTGCACCTGCGGGCGCCCTTTCCTGCTCCCACTCGGCCGCTGTTGACCCTCTGCCTCTCCTGGCCCGGCCTGGAGCCGGGTTTCCCTCTTCCCGACCCTGACGCCCACGCCTCCCGCTGGCCCGGCCCGCAGGTGGCTGTGGAGGAGCGCGCCGAGCGCCTGACGCGGGGGCTGCTGCTGCGCGGGCTGCGGCGCGGGGATTCAGGCGTGTACCTGTGCGCAGCTGTGGAGCAGGGCTTTTCGCAGCCGCTGCGTCGCCTGGCGCTACACGTGCTGAGCGCCGCGCAGGCCGAAAGGCTGGCCCGGGCCGAGGAGGCTGCGCCCGTCGCCCCTCCGGGCCCCAAGCTCTGGTACCGGGACTTCCTGCAGCTGGTGGAGCCGGGCGGCGGTGGCGCTAGCTCCCTGCGAATGTGTCGTCTGCAGCCCGAGTCGCGCCCACCGCCTCCCGAGTCGCGGAGGAAGGGCAGAAACCGCCGAAGGCACGCCCCCGAGCCGCGCGCTGAGCGGGGGCCCCGCAGCGCCGCGCGCTGGTGACTCGGCCTCCAAGCTGGATACAGGGAAGGAGACTCCAGGCGGGAGCGGGAGGGCGGACCCTGGGGGACGCACGGCTAGGGGACCCGGCACGCTGGTCCCTGGCCGATGGAGAGACCGACCGACCGACAGGCCCTGGCCGCGGGGCTGCCTCGCCGGCTTATTTATTAACAGGATAACCCTTGAATGTAGCGCTGGGAGGGGCGGCCCAGGCCGGGCACAGGGTCCTGCTCATCGCGAGGAGGCAGAGAAGCAGGGCTCCAGAGCAACGACCTGGGCGGAGGGGGTGCCCGGAGTGCCCATCCCGGGGGAAGGCCCTCCTCCCTGGGCAATGAGCAGAAAGCTGTGAACAGGCTGAGCGGTGGGGGGTGGCGTGGGGCAGGCCGATTGTACTAATGCAATAAACACATTATCAGCCGAAGCTGGAACGGCTCCAGCGCACAACCCCGGGTGCCAGGTCTTGCTGTGTGGCCTTGGGAAACTTCCTCGTGGTCTCAAGACGTCGGTTTCTGCTGAGGATGCTGTGGGGAGGACCAAAGATGGTTTCCATGTGACCGAGTGGATTCTTTGGGGCCTTTTGGGGTCCTACTGACATACACAGTGTATTCTGAATAATAGGATTTCTTGGCTGAGTGCTATGAAGAAAATGAAATTTGGTGATATGTAAAATAATGTGAGATAGCATCAATGAGGGGGTGACATTTGAGCTAAACAACAAGGAGCCAGCCATGGGAGTATCTGGGGACAGAGCATTCTAGGAAGGGACAGCCAGTGGAAAGGCCCTGAGAGAAACAAGGTGGCTGTGTGCCAGGAACATTAAGGAGGCCAGTGATACAGTGAAGTGATGGATCTGGGATGCTTAAGGAGGTAGAGCTCATTGTCTTGCTTTGTCCCAGTTGGGAAGGAGGGCCTTAGGGGGTCCCATAGCAGAGGGTGGGCCCTAAGCCTAGCCACTTCCTCCCTTCAAGGGTAAGTGGTACCATGCTTCCTCACACACTGGTGACTTGTATACCCTTGGAGAGGAGGAAGGATCTAAACTGCATTGTGCTAAGGGCTTCCAACATGTAGCTGTATTTCCATTCTTATGTGTCCCGTGCCAAGGAGGAACCATTGTCATTCCTGTTTTACAGATGAGAAAATGGAGGTCAGAGAGTGGGCAATCCCTCACCCAAGCTTGTAAGCTTATTAATAGAAATCCCAATCTTCAGTCTGTTTGCCCACTGACCAACATGAGTGCCTGCGTAGATAGGTGTGTCTCCGCCCCCTTTGGGGGCCCTCATGGCCCGGGCTCCAGTTATCCATCACCCCAATCCCTGGGGCCAGCAAGCCACACGGGGGTATAGGTGCTTGTCCATTTGTTTGGAGTAGAGATGACCCAACTTTGAGTAGGGGTCTTTGGGGGTGGAGAGGCACAGGTCTCAGCTGCCATGTGGGGCATTGCTGGAGGTGAGCATGAGGCAGCTTGTCTGGATAAAGACACCGAGGCCTGTGCATATATGGGGGTGGCAGGGTTCCCCAGAAAAGACCCTGGACACCTGCATGAGTGGAGGTGTGCTCTTGTCTGGGCCCCATCACCAGCTAGATAGTCCCGCCATGAGCCACTCCCCCCATTCCCATGGCTGAGAGCTGCCCCCTCTAAATATAGCCCAGTGGGCTGAGCTCAGGCCTATTTTAGGCCCAGGCTGGGAGGTGGCTGGCCTTCCCCAGGCTCTGAGGAGCCACCGCTGCCTTCATCTGTCCTGCTACTGGGTGCTATTATCAGCCCCCCAACTGCCCACCGCCTGCCATGCCTGAGGAGACCCAAGAAGGTAGGAGAGGATTATGGGGGAGGGCAAGGCCCCAGTCCTGTGACCCTGTGAATCACGGAGTAACCCTGCCCCATCCCACTGACCTCACTTCCTTGACTAGTCATCAATCACCATGTCCCAGCACGAGTAAAGGGACCTGCCCCCCATGCATGGAGAAAGGGCTTACCACGTCTGGAACCCCACCTCCCCCTCGGGCCCTGCCTGTCTCCCCTGCTAAGGACAGGGAGGGATTGGGGGGAGCCACCTAGTCAATTACAGGCCATGTGCAAGTGGGTGTGGGCAGGGCAGAGCCAGCCGGCGGGTTCAGCTCTTCATTCAGGGAGGAGGCTGGGATCCCGCGGGCCTCGGTCCCAGGAAGCATTTGTGCATGTGGCCCAGAGACTGGGAGTGGATAGATCTCTGGCTTCCTCCAACTTGAGCCCAAATGGACCCAACCATTAGTTGGGATCCCTTGGCCTGGCCTGACCGATAGCTAGTTAAGACTTTAGTGGCCACTCCCCTAACTGCCCCCCTGCATGCAAGAAGTACAGAGGTTCAGAGGGGCCAGAGCAGGGTTCCCCGCTCCAGCCTGGCCCGGCTGGCCAACTCCCTTATCATGTTTTCAACATTTTAACTGGATGGGGGGCGCCCAGCCCCCAGTAGTGGTGGGCGATGTTTGCCTCCTTTTGGGATCCTAACAACGATATTTACCATGTTTTTCCTGGGAATGAACAGAATCCAAGTTCAACTTACAAAGTGTGGGGAAGGGACGCCTGGTTGGCTCAGTCCGTTAGGCAGCCAACTCTGGATTTCTGCTCAGGTCATGATCTCAGGGTGGTGAGACTGAGTCCTGTGTCAGGCTCTGCGCTCAGCAGGGAGTCAGAGCCTGCTTGAGATTCTCTCCCTCTCCTGCCCCTCCCCCTGCTTGTGTGCACATGCACAAAACTCTCTCAAATATCAAAAAAAAAAAAAAGTGTGAGGAAGCAGAGCCAAGTGCAGAGAGGAATTTAATATGACCCCCAACCCATCACCCAAACATGATTGGCAGCATCTCATTTTACTTTGGGGCACGTCAAGGGCCAGTTTCAAGCAAATCACAGAGGCTGAGTTACTGTTCTGAAAGTGATAGACTCAGAGTCCAATCACCCTTGCCCCTATCAGGAGGCATTCCCTCAATGCCCCCCCTACTTTGTTATCTAGCATCCAGCTGGGTATCTGGAGATTCAAGGGGCCAAGATTTAAAAAAAAAAAAAAAAGGAAAAGAAAATATAATTTTTAGAAATCACAAAATACTTCTGATGGGTCTAAAAACTAAAATCACAAGAAGAGACCCAGTGACTAAGTGGGCAGAGGCTGGGAATGGATAAGGAAGGCACTTTAGGCAAAGAAACCCCATTGAATAGGTCAAAGAAAGCCTTTCCTCATCTCCCAGTTTGGCAAACATATGTGTACGCATGTATGTATGTAATTTTTTTTAAAGATTTTATTTATTTGACAGAGAGACAGCAAGAGAGGGAACACGAGCAGGGGGAGTGGGAGAGGGAGAAGCAGGCTTTCCATGGAGTAAGGAGCCCGATGCGGGGCTCGATCCCAGGACCCTGGGATCATGACCTGAGCCAAAAGCAGACCCTTAACGACTGAGCCACCCAGGCGCCCCTGTAATTTTTTTTTCTTTTAAAGATTTTATTTATTTATTTGACAGAGAAAGACACAGCAAGAGAGGGAACACAAGCAGAGGGAGAGGGAGAGGGAGAAGCAGGCTTCCCACCAAGCAGGGAGCCCGATGCAGGGCTCGGATCATGCCCTGAGCCGAAGGCAGACGCCCAACGACTGAGCCACCCAGGCGCCCCTGTAATTTTTTTTTTCAATGAAAAAGCCTAATGGTGGCGATGTACCCTTCTGGGGGCTGTGGACAGTCATTCTGAAGGACAGTCTGATGACGGCTTAAAGAAAAAGCCCCTGCTCTGTAAGCCAGTAATTTTGTTTCTAGGAATCTGTCCTTATTAACGATTAGGAAATCGGGAAAAACCTTCATACTCACTGATGCATGTCCTTTCCTTGGGGTTATTAACTTCTGAAGGGAACTGGAAACAACCTAAATGCCCAGGCAGCCTCAAAGGGAGGCCTCAGAAACATGTGCAACAGCTTGATAACAGAGGCAGGTCTCCTGTTACGATGTTGAGTGAAAACAGCAGGAACAGTGGGGTTCCCAGAAGTACAGCTGAATCACAAAGCTCGCGGAGGCCCTTAAAGCAGAGCTAAGGCCACAGGAGACGAGCAGCACCCAGCTAGGAAGGGGCTGCTTCTGCTGGGATTGCCAAGGTGCCAGGCCCCGGATCGGGCCCGATGGCTAACTAGCAGGGTCTGCAGGGAAAACTGATAGCTTCGGAGGCAGGGATGAATTTCATGCGCCATGGGTTTAGTCCTCCAAGGCTGATAAGCTCTTTAGGAATGAGCAGGCCGAGGAATGTCTGAAAGTCTTTGTGGTGCTTGGTGGCAAACAAAAGTGAGCAAGTCAAATGTACCTCCTGCTACTGTGGGTGTTAACAGGCTTGTGGGGTTCTGAGGTCATCTTGGCTCCAAATCAAGGGTCATTCCTGAGTTGGGTTTTAGGGCATTTGGAGCCAACGTCCCTTTGTCCTTTCCCATCTTCTCTTGAGTCCCGCTGCTGCTGGAAGCCACCTCAAAGGGAGGGGGGTGACCTGCTGGCTGAAATCAGCCCTGCACTGTCCCAGCAGACACCGTGGCACTGACACCGAGCCACAGGAGCAGGGCGCCCCTTGCCCCCAACCACATACAGGAGGTGTGCCTGCACCAGGTGGAGTCCATCAGCGACCTACACGGCGGAGGTGAGTGGGGCAGGGCAGCAGGACGGACGTACTGGGAGAGGGGAGGAGGGCAGATACAACCCCTATCCTCCTGATGCCCCATCTGCCCCCCAGGTTCGCTGCGCCCCTACCCGGCCGAGGCAGCGCAGCCATGGGATGAGCTCCTGGGCATCTTGCCACCGTCACTGTGCACCCAGGCTGGCTGCGGCCCCGGGCAAGGCAGGGGAAGCGTCCTGGTGCTCCTGGCTCTGCTGGCGCTCACCTGCCTGGCACTCGCCATCCTGGCCGTCTACCTGAGCGGTACGGGCGGCCAGCATGGGAAGCAAGTGGGAACCGAGGGCGAGGAGCTGGGACTGGAAGGCCCTTCTGCACGGTTAGAGGGAGCAGCTGCCGAGGCTGAGGCAGCAAAGGGTGGGGAGCTGTGGGGCGGCCCGTGGTCTGATAATGCCCCGCCCCTGCCTGTCCCCAGTTCTGCAGAGTGAGTCCCTCCGCATGCTGGCGCACACACTGCACACCCAGGAGGAGACGCTACTCAAACTCCGGCTTGCCAGCCTCAGCCAGCTGCGGAGGCTTAACTCCAGTGAGGCCCAAGCACCCAGCTGAGACACCACTTGGACCCGGGGCTTGGGGATGTGGGGGGGGGAGGGGCGCGGGAATAAAGTGGCCAAGGCAGGTTTCTCCTTACCCTCGGCTCCACACTACTTCCTTGGTGAGGTTTTTATACAAGAAACTAACCTGACCCCTCAGCTACCCGCCTCTCCTGTCTTCAGGCCAGGCCTGGCCAGGTTTTCTGGTGCCAAGGTCCTGCTTTCGGTGGCCCAAGGTCAGAGGAAGTTACACCAGCCTCCTGGCTCCTTCCATGGCCTGTCAGCAGCCTCTGGCTTCCCGCAGACAGCAGGTTCAAGTCTAGAAATAGCTGCCCCCACCCCAGTTGCCCAAAGTCTGCCAGGCCTCCCAGCGGGGCTCCAGCCGCAGCACTCAAGCAGGCGGAGCTCTGAGTATGGGGAGGAGGGCCACCTGAGGAGATGGTCTTGGAGGGCAAAGGTGAGATGGAGATGGGGGGGGGAGCCCAGGGGGGTGGTGGGTGGGAGGGCAGGCAGAAACACCCAGAGCTAAGAGCCACAGAAGGCTGAGCATTCGGTTTAATTATCTCTAATAATCTTTAAAAATCAGCATATAGATCCATCCCGGCAGCCTCGTGTCCCCACCTGTTCTGGTGCCATTTGTGCAGATGCCGTTCCCCTCAAGGAAGTGGGTCATCCCAGAGGAGCAGGGCCCGAGAAAGGAGAGAAAAGGACAGCCCTCCTACTGTGTGCCCCCCAGCTCTGGGACAAGCACACATCTGACCGGGCCCGGGACAGGGCAGGGAGAGGCCACAGCGCTGTGTGCGGGGGCAGGGGGCCAGGACCCCGAGTGCCCTGGACACCACCAACCCCCCCCCCTCGCCGCCATGTCTGTTTTTGGTTTTGTCATTAAAAAAATAAAGCGACAATTCCTGGCAGGGACCAGTTGTTGCAGTGTCTTCTGTTAAAAACACAGGCGCGGGTGTGCACGGTCTCCTCTTCGGCCGGCCCCGCCTCAGAGGACGTCTGCCCGCTTGTCCCGCACGCGGCTGCGTGCCTTGGTCCGCGCTCTGAAGGCAGCAGCGTTGTACAAGTGCTAGAGTGGGGGCAGGAGTGAGGCTCTGGTGAGCCAGGGAAGGGGAGGCCCGGGCCCCCCTCCCCGCCCCTGCAGAGCTCCGGGCCTCGAGGCCATGGGAGTGGAGGGAAGAGAAAGGTGCCTAAGGGTGCAAACCTTCTCAAAACGTGAGATCTTGCAGGCCTTCAGGGCAGTGGCATCCAGCACCAGCACGGGGCCCAGGCCAAAGATGTCACGGAGTAGCTCGTTGTTCTGGGGGACAAAACGGGCAGTGAGCTCAGGCTGGTCCAAAAGAACCAAGCTGGGTACCCCCTGCCCGTCCGTCTTCCCACCTGGAGGTGGTGGTGCATGCCCGATCCCAGCACGTCCTTGAAGGCGGCATAGACGCGGCGCCGGGCCCAGCTGTCCACATACAGCACCTCGAGGCCAAAGCGGACGGACTCTTCCTCACACTCACCGCCCTGCAGCATAGAGGGACCCACAGACTAGGGCTTGGCGGCGGTGTCCGGGGAGCACTCTCCCCGGGACACATGTTCTCACACGTACCTCCACGAAGTGCAGCACGGCGCGGAAGGTAGAGCGCTGACGCCGGCGGTCAGCCTTGGCACGGTACTTGTTGCTGTCGGTGGCCAGGGTCCGCAGGGCGCTGCACAGGGCCTCCATGTCCTCGTACAGGAAGTCCTACAGTGCGAGCAACAGAGGGTGTGTGAGCAGGAGCCCAGGCTCTGCACGCTCTCACACGGGGCTGCCCAAACCCTTCCTCTCACGGAAGAAGTGGCTTCCTCCTCCGCCTGGTCCCCTTGAATCCCTTCTTGGCCCCTAGCTGGGCCAGAAACCCCTGCTCAGAGCCCCCACCGTGGCACCCGGTGTCTGAGTCTGTGTCAGGGCTACCTCCCCTCCGTCATGACCTAAGGCTGCCCTGTCTCCTGCGGCGTCCCCTGCCTCCAGCCTCGGTTGGCCAGGTGGTGTCAGGAGGCCCCCTCCCTTCCCTTCCCCCCCCCTCACACCTCAAGGTCCCGGGCAAGCTCAAAGAGCAGTGCGATGGTCTCGCCGGCAGCGATTCGCAGGTTCACGCTTTCGCTGGACAAGAGCTGGGGCAGCCGGGCCAGCTGCCTGGGGAAGGGGCAGGCTGAGCTATGTGCAGGCTGGGGGGCCTCGTCGCCTTTCCCCTCCCACTTGCAGCAAGCAGTCGCTCTTACCTGTCCAGGATGTGGCTGACGTGGGTGCTGGGGCAGACGGTGAGGAGCAATGCCCAGGCCTGCAGGGCAGCGCAGAGCAGGCCATGCAGGCTGGCAGGGACCACGGAGGCTGTGGAGCCACCCACAACACAGGACCGGCTGAAAACGCTTTCCAAGCAGTTGAGGCAAGACACCAGGTCCTAGGGACACAGGGAGCCAGTGGGAATGGCTCAGGGGCAGAGCTAGGGTCTAGGTGCTCTATTACCTGTGCCCAGAGGCCACTTACCTGGACATCAGCAGCAGCCACGTAGCACCCCAAGCCAAGAGCAGAAGCGCACTGTGGGAAGGGGGGCAAAGCCACGCCACGGTCAGAGAGTGAGCCTGGGCTCCCGGCCACAGGGCTCACCCTCAGAGTAGGGGAGCCTGAAGGTAGGTGGAACCCACCTCCTTTCTGCTCAGGGACTACGGGAGGGAAGGGTGTCACAGAGCCTGAAACACTCACGTGGAGCCGGGCAGCAGGGCTAGCTGTGCCATCACTGAGCACAGACACCAGGAGGGGCTGCAGGCTGCGAAAGAGCTCCTCGCCCTTGGGTCCAGGGCCCAGCTGCACACACAGCAGGCCTAGCACGGCAGCGGCCAGCGCCTGTTCCTCGCCCTTCCCTGCAGGAAGGCTTTCCGGTCAGCCCATGCAGCAAGGGTCAGTACCCAGCCAGTTCAGGTCTCCCATGAGCCCCAGGGCCCAACCTTTCTTGAGGCACTTTTCCAAGGCATCGGCCAGGGTGAGGCGGCGCTCCAGCAAGAAGTCGGGGAGAAGGCGGGATGCCAGGGCCAGGCGAAGGCTCTCAAGAGCACCCTGCCGGGTCTTGGCACTGGGGGATGAAGAGAGGGGACCTTGTGGGCCAGCCCTACTGGGTCACACTTGGCATGGGCTGAGCAGGGACACGGGTGTGGGGGTTGGCTGGCAGTCAGGGGTACCTCTTATCTGTGAGGCAGTCCACATACTCCTTCAACTTCTCCTCAAGGTCTTCCTGCTGGCCCTGCTCATCCACGGCATCCCCCCCTGCAAGGCCAGCTGGTCAGCCCTGCGTCTTGCTCTACCCCAGGGAATCCCCACAGAGTCCCTGCCAAACTCCCACCCGCTCTCACCAAGGCTGTCCTCTGCTGCAGTGCTAAGAAGGCTGGGGCATTCACTGGTGGTACTGCGGGCCTCACTGACGGCCTCATCCTCACTCGAACCTGAGTCAGCTTGGGTACTGCTCCGGGCACCTGGGGAGGGTCGAACACACTTGTGGTAGCACTTGGCCTGCCTCCATTGATGAGTGATGGCTGGGGGGGTACCTTACCCAACCTCATGACCCCACAAGAATAGAATCCTGCCCCTCTCACAGATGAGAAAACAGAGACTGAGGTGGGAGGCACTGGGGCTGATGCACAGGACACTAAGCCAGGAAGGAGGAGAAAGGGAATGAGGTCCATCAGCTGGAGAATATCAGGCACGAGGCCCAGCCTAGGAAAACCTGGCAGGTTTGGTGAGTAGAGCCTCCCTGAGACTATAGCCTGCTTAAGAAGGAGAATGAGAGCCTGGTAGAGGCAGAAGGGGCTGCATAGGCCCCACCTAGGCCTGTGGCTGAGCCTGGAGTGGGGGCATTTCTAGGCAAATCCTGGGGGAGCTCAGCCACTAGCCCAGATTATGCCTAAAAATGGCCAGGGCAAAGATCAGGGGCTTAATTGTAGGATTTGTATATATAGAATATATACAGACAAACACAGGGTTCGAATTCCAGCTCCGTATGTTAAAAGGGGTGTAACCAAGTCAAAAGTCTAGCTTTACTCCCTCAATTTCTTCATCTGCAAAACAGAGATGCTAAAGGACTCTTGGTTTAGCAAGTGAAGACAATAACTAAACAAACAACTAGTTCCGGCTCTTCTGTGGGCCAACATCACCTATCTGCCCTGGGCATGTGGGTGACTGCCCCAGACTTCAAGCATACTCTCTTCTGAGCTCCCCCTTGACCATCCCAGGCCTTTAACCCTGGGTGAATGGACGCACACAGCCCCCTCCTAACCCTGGGAAATGCAGAAAGTGGAGTGGCCCCTGACCGCATGAGTCCCAGAAAATAGGTAAACACAGGAGAATGTCAGGGTCAGCAAAACGTACACTCCTGTGCGGGTTCTGCCCAGGGCTAGGGGCTGACTTTGGTAAGGGCAGCTGCTGCAACAGAGCCCCAGATGGGTTCTGGTCGCCAGGCTGATCCTACTTCTCAGGAACTAAATACTCCATGTGCCTGCTGGACAAAGTCCAGCATGCATGCAGGCCTCTGCCCACCTTCTCTCTTACTACCCTAACCAGTCAAAGCAACCCAGCCTCCCTCATTTGCTCCCTCCAAATGCCAGGCCTTTGCACAACTTTTTCCCTCTGCATAGTGCTCTCATCTTCACCTTCCCAGGATTCACCCAGAAGCCCCTCCAGGATTCCTTGGTTCCTAAATCTGGGGCTGGCACCATTTAATGAACTTGTCCCCCAGCATCAGTTCTTCTGGAATGTCACTACCCTCTTAGATATCCCCACACCCAAGTCCTATTAGGGTTGTGGCCAGGTCTGAGCTGTGCCTAACAGGCACCCCATTCCTGCAGCGTAAACATATGTGTTTACTGCACCAAGACACACTCCTGTTCGAAGCTGATAAGTCTCCTGCCTCAGGCTCCAGGGCACTCCCCAACCCTCTCGTGCCAGGCCCACCAAAGCCAGAATACTGCAGCTTCCCCATCGCCGCCCTCCTTAGTACTCCCCGGCAGGCGAGGCCTCCCACCCATTTCCTAGTCCAGTTCAGGAAAGCACCAGGGAGTGGCGAGGGGGGCAGGCTTCCTGCTCTGTCCAGCAGAGGCAACTAGGGTGGAGCGGCAATGCGGGAAACTGAGGCGGGGAGACGACCACCGGTTTAGGGCCGCGAGCTCCTGAGCCGCAAGGACTGCGCTCAAGTTGGACACCCACGTGGCCGCTGCCTCCTGGGGCACGTGCGGGCCGCGGGGGAGCTGCGGGACGCAGCGCCAGGTTGGTCGAGGCAGGAGTCTCCTCCCAGAACCCTCCAGGACACCCACAGGAAGCCACGCAGGACCCCCGCTCGCCGTTCATTAGCGGCTCCCCACTTACCCGCTCCGCGGCGCTGGCCGCCCTTGCGGGGCGCGCTGCCCTTACGGGCGCGGGGCATGCCGGGAATCAGGAGCGCGGGCGCGCGGCGGGCGCGGGGTCAGGGACCCGGCGGACAAGGATTCCAGACCGGCAAGACGCCGGTCGGTGGGCTAAGCTGGGACTTGGGCAGACGACGGGACCCACACGCCACACGCGACACCATCTTCGCGAGGCGCCCCGCCCTGCCAAACGGGTCGGGGCGCCCCGCCCTGCTAAATGGGTGGCCGGGAAGGCGAGTTCTTGGCCATTGGGTTCCGGCCCGCATCCACGAGGCCGAAACTACTAGTCCCAGGGGGCTGTACGCGCAGATGACCGCAGGCCGCCTGAGCGCAGAGCACCTCGGGAATTGTAGTCCACTCCAGAGACCCAAAAGCCCACGACGCTTTAGCTGAACTACGTAACCACAATGCCCTGCGCACACTCGCCCCCTCCCCCCGCCCCCCGTTACATGTGCCTCCCGGCACAGTAGTTAACTCTGAAGCTGCCGCCTTGGAGCAGGCTACCACGGCAGCAGGCAGGACCGGCATTTCCTGGCACCGAGGCTGGACATTCGCGACAGGAAGAGCGTGGGGCTTGGTAGAGCTGGGTAAACAGTCAAACCTTAGGCAGTGAAAGAAAAAGTGACTTTATGATGAAGCAGAGGACAGACAACAGCTTAGCACTTACAGACCTTAGCCAAGATCTTGGAGCCCACCTGTCCCTGGACGGGTCTCCTGTGACCTCTCCATGCACCCAGTGAGGAACTGGAACAGAGCTCTGGGCTGGCAACACTAACTATCTGTAACGGTGACTCTCCCCAGGGCTGCTTCCTTATCGGAAAGGATCAAGTGATCTCAGAGGACCTTTGGTTTTTAAAATGGTGTAAGCAAAATAATAATAAAATAAAAAGGTGTAAACCTTTTTTTCTGGCCCCTTCCACTTCCCAGGGGCCCCATGGGAAGTGGGGGATGTATATGGGAGGACTGACTATAAACTGGATAGAACAAGAGTGGGACAGAGTTCTCCCTCCAGGACTGGAAAAATGGCAGCAGGGACAAGAGACTCAGGGACAGGTAACTTCTGGCTTTATGCTGCTTCTTCAGGCCTGGGCTCAGGCCTGGGCTCCTGGCAGGTAGGGCCAGCCCAGCCCGGGTAACAACGGCAGCTAAAGGACTCCCAGGCGCCAGGGCTGCCATCTGGCTGCAGGTGCAGAAAGGCTTCCAGCTGTCCTCCATCTTGCCAGGCACAACGCCCATGGCCATGGCAGCGCTGGTGACTGCAGGCTATGGCTGCCCTGGTCACGTTGATTACATAGGGGCCCAGGGTGACCACTAGGTAGTCATGGAGATGCCAGCACTCCTCCTGAGGAGAGGGGAAGGATGTATCAATGCTCCTGCTCCATGGCTCTGACATGGTCTTTCTCCCAACCCTGGGACTCCAGCATGGGCTGCATGGCAGGTTGGAGGGGCAATGATCACCTCAGAGCTGGAGAAGCTTAGGTCCCCCCAGAGCACCACGCCGGCCGCCCCGAGTGCTGCGCTCACACCAATGGTCTGCACAAGGTCATCCTGGAGGCAAAGAGCTGCTAAGCCAGGCCTGAGCTGGCCAGATCCAACTGGGCCTACTTCCACCTTCGAGAAACTCTTCTGGCTCATCGCCATGATCGGATTCCACGACTAGAGTAAGATTCCTTGGCACTGAGCCTCTGAGTGGCTTCTCAGGTCCTCCACTCAGGGGCTGTCTCCCCTCAGACCAGGGCTCCAAAGGCTGGGCCTTGCCTTCCCCCTCAAGGTATTCCAACACAGAGCCTTACTTCCTTTTCAGATGCTCCAGGATAGGACCTCCCCACTAAAAAACTAGATCAGGGCCTCCCCATCAAATCCCCCCAGGGCAACATCTTCTCTTCAGACCTTCCTCAGACAGGGCCATGCCCCCCACTCAGACCCCTGGATCTCAACCTTCACTCACCTGAGACAGGAACCTCCCAGAGCTCCGGTGTGTGAGGCGGGCATAGGCCAGGACAGGCAAGGGCTGTGGATGCCCAACGGAGGCCACACGGAAGGCCTCCTCCAGGCGGTATCGGACAAATGCCTGGTGGTAGATAGGCGGCAGCCTGGGTGGGAGGTAGATGCTAGGAAAGAGGGCGCTGGAGGCAGCCCAGAGCCAATGAAGTTGGGTGTTACGGGCGAGAGCGGCTGGGTGGCAGTGGCCCGTGTAATTGGAAGCCATACCATGCCAGCCATTGCTACAGGCTGGGAAGCGGTAGAAGCCCCAGAGCCCATGGGGTTGCAGTGCCTGGCCCAGTCGCAATGTGTCCTCCATCAGGGCCCGGGCTGCCTGTTCAAAGCCAGCACGGGCCTTGTGGAGCTGCTCCTGGGGGCTCAGGTCGGGGAATATCCGCTGTGCCCAAGCCCATGAGGCTGCCTGATAGGCTCGGCGGCGGCCCCAGTTCCCAGCCCAGAGTGGGCTCCATTCCTCCCAGTCTAGCACTGCCAGGCCAGCAAAGCCACGTCCTAGGCTGTGGTGGATCTGGTAGGTAGCCCGTGCCAGGTGGCGGTCAAGAGGGACAACCTGGGGGATGCCCCCATTGTGAGCTGTGCCCCTGGGCCCAAGGTAGGGATAGAGGCCGAGCTGGTTCTTGTAGAAGATGGTGATGTTCTGGCCATGGAAACGCTGGCCACGGTTGGCTGTGATGCCCAGGGCCTCTAGTGGCAGGTGCACGCCAAAGCGAGTCTTACAGTGTGCTGAGGGTACGTTCCACAGCACAGAGAAGGGGCGTTCAGGAGCCCAGAGCAGGGGCTGGCCAAACCCCAGGCACAGGGCCACTCCGAGCACCAAGGCCAGGCCCAGCTGCATGATCATGCCCCAGGGATGGAAACCTGCAGGAGAGAGGGGCTGTGAGCTTAGAGTCCATGGCCATGGCCATACCTTCCATACAGCAGGGAAAGCTGGGAACACTCCCCCAACTACTCCCCATGAGGATGGGGGGTGGGGAAAACATGGCCCCCCTGTGGTCCTCTAGCCCTCTCAGACCAGCCACGCCATGCGTCAGCCTAGGCAGCTCCCCTCCCATGTTCTCCATCTTTGTCATGACACCACTGTGCCCTCTGACACCTCGCCCGCCCACAGTTCTCACCAGTCCCCTTCTGTCCTCTGTCCATCTTGTTCCCTGCCCCAGGAACACTTAACACCCTCCCCCCTTGCCTGGCTACTTAGCACTCAGGTCTCTGCTGTGACATCACCTCCCCTGGATTTCCAAACGGACTGAGGGCACTTGGGCTCCCACTGTCCCAACATAGATCCTGCCACTGTATGCCTGTCTCCTTCTGTTCCTTGGATCAAGGCCCTATCTGTCTAGTTCCCCATTGCCTGGTTTAGGGCCTGACACACAGTAGGTCCTCAGTGAATGGTGATGAGTGAATGTGGAAGGGTACAGACACCTTGTCACCTGGGCCTGGCAGAGTGGGAGGGGCGAAGGTTAGGTGTCCCTTCACCCATGGCCCCCAGGGCCAATGTGGATCCGGAGGATCTTACAGATATAGAGGATCTAAGATAAGGCTGGGAAGTGAGGGTGGGTCAACAAATAAACTGTCACAGCCACACCCAATAGAAGCCTTTATTCAGCCACACTGACAGCTCTGAGCCACATCTCTGGAGCAGTCTCCCAGCCCCACTGGTACTCAGGAAACATGGCCAGGCTAAAGCTGCCCCCAGGCTCTAGGGACTGGAGGTATGGGGCCAATGGGCTGGGCTGAGGCTGGTACTGTCCCAAGCAGTCCATCGACCCCGAAGGACAGTGCCTTGACCTGGGTAGCCCTCAGATGTCCTTTTCCATCCAGAATATGGGGCATCCTCTCAGGTCTTGGTACTGCGTCTCCAGCAGGCTTTGTGGAGGGGGCCCTGCAGGAGGTGGGGGTGAGGTGGTCAAGGGCTCAGGCAGGGGAGGGGGTGGTGGCAATGATGGCCCCTTGGGGGCTCTTGGGGCAGTTTGGGGAGTTAGACTAGGACCCTTGCAGGATGGCCGGAGAGAGGGGGCTCTGGGGAACGCCCTCAGCAGGGTGGCAGGCAGCTGTCGGCTGGTGAAGACCAGGCCCTGTACAGGCTCACCCAGCTGGTAGCCCAGGTGGGCATAGAACTGCAGCTGGTCATGGGTGGTGAGGTGGAGCCGGCGGAAGCCCCGGGCCTGAGCAAAAACCTCCAGGCCCTCCATAAGACGGCGGCCAAAGCCACGGCCCCTCAGAGCCCGGGCCACCACCACTGTCTCCACCAGGAGGCTCTGGGGCCGGTCTAGCACCCGTGACAAGCGGGCATGACCCACTACAATGGGAGCTGCGTCGGGTGTGGGGCGGGGGCTCAGCAGCATCAGGCAGAGGGGGAAGGCATCTGAGGACTGGCCCAAGGAGTGCAGGCGGGAAGCACGGCTTCGGGGCCACTGCTCATTGATGAGGTCGGCACAGGCATCCAGGAGCTCAGGTCGGCAGTGCACAGGCTCCAGGGTCAGTTCAGCCAGGTTGGGGGCTGGGATGTCCTCTGGCTGGTGTGCGGGATCCAGGGTCAGCTCAGTGGAGCCAGGACTGAGGGTCATCTCTGGATGGCATGCAGAACCCGGGGTCAGCTCAGCTAGCCTGGGGCTCAGGGTCAGCTCTGGCTGGTGTGCAGGATCCAGGGTCAGCGTGGCCAGGTTGGATCTCAGGGTCAACTCTGGCTGGCATGCAGGATCCAGAGTCAGCTCAACTGGGCTGGTACTCAAGATCAGCTCTATCTGGTGTGCAGGGTCTAGGGTTGGGGTCAGCTTTGGTGGGCCAGGGCTCAGAGTGAGCTCTCACCTACATGTAGGATCTAGGCTCAGCTGAGTCAGGCTGGGAGCCAAGGTCATCTCCTGCTAGGTTGCAGGTGGCTCAGTGGCAGGCTAGGGATTAAGAGCACAGTCTCCAGACAGTGGTATCTCCTCAGACCACAAGGGTGCTCCTCCGACGGACAACAGCCACGCTAGGCTGTACCAAGAGGGAGGACAGGGTTGGGGCAGGGAGGGGCCGACAGAGTGCTAGGGGAGCCATGCATCCCGGAAATGGTAAACTACACCTTGTCCCCATACTCACCTGATGGCACAGGTGACCTGGAGACCATCCCCTATACCTGACTCGGGTGGACAGCAGAGGAAATAGGTCCATCGTGTCCTGCTCCACACTGGAGGGAGGCTGAAGCCTAAAGGCTGGGGCAGAACCCAAGAGTCCTGGCCCCAGCCTGCTGTGGCTACAACTTTGTTCTCCCCAGGACGGTGGATTTAGCCTTACCATCATGGCTGGCTGGCCATCAGATAGAACATGCAAACTAGACACCATGATCCCTTACTTAAATCCACTCAAGATTCCCTTTGGAGGAAACACAGCTACCCCTGGGAGCTCCCCTGTTCCTTCCTTTCCCCTACATTCTTGGTCCCAGCCTTTTTGGCCTCTTGGGCCATGCCTGCCACCTGACCAATCCTGGGGTACCACTCACCCACCCGTTTAGGACGGGATTTCCCTTCCCTGCCTGCAGCACAGAGCCCATGGCCCTCTCCCCAACACTGTGCAGCTCAGGACACTTTGCTTGGGCACAGACCCAAATGTCCCTTCAGATGGGGCCCCAACAGCACTGGCAAGGGGCCTGGCTCACAGTCCCACAGCAATGTGGCTCTTGCAGGCTTGGTTCCCCACTGGCCTGAGTTTCGTAGTCACCCTAGATAAGGACCACAGCTTCCTTCCTAAATCCACAAGGGTGTCCAACTGCCACCCGGATGGGGGCTCAGACCTCCTGCGCCTAAATCCCATTGTTTGCCCATCCTACCCCAGGCCCTGCTGCCAGAAGGTCTACGCTGGGGGATTTCTGGTGGTGGGGGAATCCGCTGGGCTGCACACTTCTACTCACCTGCTCCAGAGGACGTCCTGGCTCCCCTTCCCCACCTCCCCAAGAAGGTCCCCTGAGCTTGAGGCCAATTCCACACTGGTCGTCCACAGGTAGGAGCCCCCCGCCCCACACACTATATCCCACTCAGAGGGCTATAAGCCCCTCACCTGCATCAGCTACCTCCTCAGCAGCCGCCGCCCTGGACCTAGAGGGAGGAAGCCCTAGGATCCGCCCCCAGGCTTGGAGCCCCAGACTTCCCCGCGGGCTTAACCCTTTCAGTGCCGACCCCACCCCCTGTGGGCGGGGCTCGTGTCCTCAGGGAGAGGCGGCAAGGCTCTCCTGTGCCTCGGTTTCCCCCTCCCTCCTAGTGGGTGACAAACAATGGAGTTTTTTGGGGGGGTGGGTGGGGGTGCTTCAGGAGCTTGACTCTGGGTGGGTGTGGCTCGGCATGCTCTAGGAGGGAACGACAGACGCAGGGAAGGCGTGTGGAGCGGCACAGCCACTTGAGGACCGCACGCGTGGGGCGGACGACGGGAGACAGTGAGGACCAACACGCTGCGCGTGGGAAGAGGGAAGTACTGACATGTTGAAGCCAAGATCCGGGATGCTCCGCGTCCTCGCTCCGCGCTGGCCGGTTTCTCGCTCTGTGGTTTGGACTCTTCCGACCGCCCGCGCTGGCCCCTAGCGGTGCGGCGGACGCAATGCAGCCGTCGCGGCCCGCAGCGCCCCACCTGGTCCAGACTTTCCCTAGGCCACCCACCCCCACCCCGCCTCCGCGCGTCACCGCTTAGGCCCCGCCCCCGGCTCCGCGCGTCATAACACCGAGCCGGCGCAGACCCGGTCTCTGCCCTGGCTCCGCCTCTGCCCCGCCCGCCGTCGCCGAGCCACTGCTCCCTGCTCCGGCGCTTCACCGCTGTGACCGAGCGCAGGCTCCACCTCCTCCTCGATGTGCCCCGCCCAGTGCAGGCCCAGTCTCTGGCTCCCCGGCACCGCTTCGTTCCTTCGGGATTCCGCTCGGCAGAGGCCCTGCCGCGGCCCGTCACGCCAAAGCCTTGGCTGGGTGCAGGCCCCTCCTCCACCTGGCTCTACTTCCGCCTCGCCTCGTCTCGTCTCGCCCCACCCTAGGCTCAGGCAGGTCTCGGTTCCCGTTGGCCTCCCGGGTAAAAGGTTCCTGTGTGGAAACGGTCAGGTGGAGCTTCCTCCTGAACTTTGGGCCCCATCCTTGGAAGCAGCCGCCCTCGGACAGACATCAGGACTGAGTGAGAGAGACGAGCCTTTGCTGTGCCCTCTTGCGTCCCAGTGCCTGTACGTTTTGGGCACTCAGTAGCTCTTGAAGCAAGAATCATACCTACTTTATTTGCGAGGCTGGTACCTCTGAGCAGATTCAGGTTGCATGCAGGGCTGGTTACTGTCAACACATAGTAGGAGCCAAAGGGCTTTACCTCTATGGCTAGACAGCCTGGGTTCGACCTAAGCTTCTCTATTTTCTGGCTGTGCAACATTGGGCAAAGTGGTTGCCCTCTCAGTGTGTGCCTGTTTCCTCATAACGTCATGTTAGGATTGAATGAGTTAGTCTACTTAAAGTGCTTAGCACAGGACTTGGGGAGGAGTAGGTGCTCAGTGAATGTCAGTTCTTGTGATAGCTGCAGCTTAAAGACTGGGCTCAGTGTCTCTGGAGATGTTTATGACCCTGCTGGGTGGGTGCTGGAGGCTCTAACCCCTTCAACTATCCTGGCCTGTAAGCATGTGTGCAGGTACAGACATACGCTCTTTTTTTTTTTTTTAAGATTTTATTTCTTTCTTTGACAGAGAGACACAGCAAGAGAGGCAACACAAACAAGGAGTGGGAGAGGGAGAAGCAGGCTTCCTGCGGAGCAGGGATCCCGATGTGGGGCTCCATCCCAGGACCCTGGGATCATGACCTGAGCCGAAGGCAGACGCTTAACGACTGAGCCACCCAGGCACCCCTCAGACATATGCTCTTGATGGTGGCTGAGAATAATCCTGACTGTGACCCTGACTTGTGTGACTGCTTGTACTTGAGAAAGCTGTGGCCAGGCTCAGAGTGCATTAGGTTGTGAAACCAAATAAAGAAAACCTCATTAAAAAAAAAAAGAAAAAGAAAAAAGAAAACCTCATTTAAAATGGAGTCGAGCGAGACGTTTGGGTGGCTCAGTCGGTTAAGCGTCTGCCTTCCACTCAGGTTATGATCCCAGAGTCCTGGGATCAAGTCCCGTGTCGGGCTCCTTGCTCATCGGGAAGCCTGCTTCTCCCTCTCCCTTTGCTGCTTCCCCTGCTTGTGTGCTTGCTCTCTCTCTCTCTTTCTGTCAAATAAATTAATTAATTAAATAAAAATAAAATAAAATGGAGTGGAGAGGCTAGAAGAGGTAACTCAGACATATCACTTCTTGCAGCCCTTTGCAGACCCAACAGGAAGGAGCCTACTTTACTCCTCCAATAGGAGGAAAGATTTTCTCTTTGCCTGACAGCAGCCCAGCCAATGAGAGAACCTCATAGCTCAATGAAAAATCACCACCCTTCAAACTCCCAGTTTACTCCAATGGATTTTCTGTTTATAACAGTCCCTTCCAATCCCCTCTTTCGTCTGTAAAACAGCATTCCTCCTCTTTGTTCTCCAGACTTGCCTGTGGTTTTGCAACAGCTCACATATCTCAAATTGCACTTCTCTGCTGTTCCCCAAAAAAACCCATTTTTGCTGGTAAAATAACCAATTTATTTTTAAGGTAAACAGGGTGCTCAATGTGTATCCTGGTGTGTGACCAATCATCACATGCCCTGCTGCTCACACCGTGCTCCCTTCCAGCCACGGTAGCAGCGACATTGGAACTCCACAGCCATCTGCATCTGATCCTCAAGTGAGAGGGCACCTTGTAGGGTCAGGGGCCCGCCACCACGAGTGAGCTGGATGGAGAAACTGGCGGGGTTGAGGATGAGGAGGGCCTCGGGGTGGTTGGGGCGCCTGGCACAGCGACCATGGCCTGAGCACAGGGCTTGACTGCACAGAAGAGCCCCACTGGTCATGTTGAGGATGAAGGGTCCCAGTGTGGTGTCCACATACTCCTTGATGGCCTGGCATGATTCCTGAGTGGGAGGAGGAGCATCAGGGACACCCCGATCATGCATGGGCCTACCTAGGGCATTGACACACTCACCTGCTGGCCCACTAGGAGTGCAGGGATAGAAAGGGCGGGCCAGGGTCTTCCCAATCAGCCTGCCAGCCCAACTCCTGCCCCCACCCTAACCCCCATCCTGGGCCTGAGCTCACCTTGGTTTTTGTGTTCTCCCAGCTCATCCAGAGTACCACGCCTGCTGCTCCTTGGGCTGCACTTTCCCCCAGACTGTGCTCCAGCTCATCCTGGGGAAAGGGACAGCATAGCTCTGAGGGGCCTTCCTCCCTCCCTCCCTCCCCCACACAGCACATTGCTGTAACACCACTGGATGGGACAAATAACTCATAGTTCCCACCTGGGGCTGCTCTGGCCCCGGTGGTGAGAGGCAAGCCTGTCCTCACCGTAGCCTGCAGCAGGCACTCCATCTTTGTGATGAATGCTGAAACGTCTGTACTGAGCACAAAGCTTGGCGCACAGTAGGAGCTCAAGGAATGGAGCATAATGGATGAAAGTGCCCCAAGGCTGTGTGGCCTCACTTACTGGACCTAATGCCTGACAAGGTAGGCTACAAGGTGGGTGGGGTCATAGGAGACTCACCAGGGGCAGAAAGCTGTTCGTCTTGTCATAGAAGATCTGAGCATAGGGCAGCACCGGCAGATTGGGCTCCCCAACACTCATAGCCATACGGAATGCCTCACCTACACGGTGCCGCACATACATCTGTCCCTTCCCCGTGCCCTCCAGCTCTGCGGGCATGTAGATGCTGGGGTAGAGGGC